AGAGAGGACCAGGCCTGGATTTTATTTTGTGTTTTGTGTACGGCAGTCGTCCGCGAGGGGCTGCCGCTTTACTTTCGTTTTGTGTTTGTTTATTTGATTAAAGTTTTGTTTAAGTGTTCGCCGGTTCCCGCCTCCTTCTTCCCGAACTACGAACGTTGTTACAGCTATAAAACCCCGTCTTCATATCAGCTGGAGGGATTGGCTCTATTTCCGCTCGCAAGACGGGAGCATCCTTGTTTGGCACAGAGGTGAACCGAATGCCGCTGAACTTGGGAGGACGCCGGGTGAACTGAATCGCATAGCCGAGTCTGATGGTTCTCATGAGCCAGCGAGACGGTCTGAGGAGCGCTAACCAGGCCCCCAGAAACCTAGCAAGCAGGACTAAGGGAACCACCGACGTACCCGCAGTGGGGCAGCGAGGTGGAGCGCAGGGACCCGACCCGGAAGGCAAAGTGTCCCGGAGTGGGGTCTGAGTGCGCGGTGCGACACTTACCTGGCTCCACGGTTGGGCAGGGTACGTGTGAGGAGGCACCGTGTCCTCGAGCCGGGCCCTGCTGCCCGCTGGCGAAAGGAGAGGGGGACGGAAGTGTTGAGGCTGTGTCTCGTACACTGCCATCCTCGCCCTCTTGGGACCCAGAGAAATAGGAAACTGCTCTTTTGTTGAATGTTTGGGTACCACTGGCTGGGGAGACAGTGGCGGAACAAAACAAAAAGGGAACAAAAGGTGCTCCACCCGGCCCTCCTCCGGGGGAAGGAGTGGTGCAGTCACCAACTCCTGAAGAGCAGGAACCAGAGTCTCCTGGTCGCCCGTCTCAGGGACGCCACTTGCTCTGGCGCTTTACAGGCCTGGCAGTGGCAGAGCTTTCCTGCTGCTAGCTTTCCTGTCACTTTCCTGCTGCTAGCTCCATGCTGCGGCCGGTGTGTAGGCTGCTGCTGGGGCCGAGCTGGAGCGGAGGTGGAGGCAGCGGAAGGGTGCCCTCGGAGACTAGCGGGCAGAGGAGCTGCAGCCGGCAGCGGGCCGCCAGAGCAGGTTGTGCTTAATTGCCTCCTTCTGCTTCTGTGCCTGGGAGATCGGGGAGTCCAGGAAGCTGTGTTTGTCGGACTCCCTCATATCTGCCAGGTTTAGCCAAAGCAGATCCGTCGCAGTGCGCAGCTCAGGTCAGAACTACCCCCGTGCAGCTGCTTCAACGGCTTGGCCTGGTAGACTTGCAGGAGGGCCATGGCATGCAGGGCGGAGGCGGCTTGTCCAGCAGCTCTGTAAGCCTTGGCCATTAGAGCGGACGAGAACTTACAAGCTCTGGACGGGAGACGTGGATTACCCCGCTAGGCAGCAGCGCTCTGCGGGCAAAGCTGCATCGCAATAGCACGCTCGACTGGAGGGATCTCCACATACACCTTAGCCGTCCCGCCGTCAAGGGTAGTGAGGATGGAAGAGGCACTAGCTCTATTTCGGGCAGAAAAAGGTGCCCTCCAAGACCTAGTAACCTCTTCATGCACCTCTGGGAAGAATGGAACCGGAGGTGGACGCTGAGGATAAGCGTGCGGCACCCCCAGGAACCAATCATCCAGCCTTGAGCGCTCGGGAGATGGAGAGGGTTTCCATTGCAACCCGACGCTCTCGGTGGCCTGGGAAAGCATAGCAGTCAGCTCTGGATCTGACTCGGGCAACGCCACCTTCCCTGACGGAGGCAACGCAGCCCAGTCTTCATCTCCAGAGCCTAGCTCGTCCCCCGATGCAGTGATCGACATCCTGTCATCTGCCGGGACTCCGAATGAGACACTAGGCCTCGACTCCGGGGGCTCAGCTGCCTCATCATGGAACACCACGACTAGAACGGGGCATAGCAAGGGAAGAGGAGTCTGGATCGCAACATCGCAATGGTCATGTTCCCGCAATGAGAACATGAATCATCCACAAGAGCTGCCTCAGCGCGCTCAAAGCCCAGGTACGAGATGCAGCAATCGTGACCATCAGACGAAGCCAGGAAGTGACTGCATCCAGAAAAACACGAGTGGAAGGCCATCTTGAAAAAGATGCCGCGTCACTCGTGGAGCTCTTTTAGAACTTTAATTCTAATAATAGATTTAAGTGCTGAAGCGCCCAGGGGAAGTCGCAGCGTGACCGCAGTTTGAAAAGCAGCAGCACAGGACCAGCAAACCTCTGCTGATGCGCCATAACACCAACACTCGCAGAACCATTGTTCTGTAACACTCTCTTCGGTGACTGCTCAAGCAGAAAGGCTCGGCTCCGAAGCGAAAAGCTGAATGTGCGACTGCACGAGATCTTCTTATATGCCCATGCTGCGGAGCGGGGTGCGTGATGCAAAGCTCGCACGCCAACATTCATTGGCTTGTTTTGTTAACACTCGAAGGTGATTGGGCTCTCTGGCGAGATCCCAATTCGTCAGTCACTGCTGACGTAACGTCGAATGTGACTGACTGAAAGGGAACCTTACATCTAAACATGAGAATAAAATAACCCATAAAATGAGAATTAGAGGAACATCATGTGCTGGATTCAGCTTAGAATCTCAGAATTGTATTTATAAAACTTAATTTTTAGCATTGTCTTTCATCCTATTTCTGGTAAATAAAACCAGATATTTATTGGGGAATACACTGAAAATGGCTTATGTTCTTTTCATTTTCACTGTTATGTTGCTTAAAAAGTACAACTTTTCATTATTCAAATTAATCTGAATGGACATTTTGAAAGTACACCTACATTGTTTTTCAAAGATGAGGATGATTACAACAAATTAAAGTAGTCCATATATTCAGTGTCACTGAAATACTTTGTGTGAAAAACAGATTGTAATTTAAGTAACCTTTCACCCTGCCCTATTAAAATCTGGCTCACACACAAGAACATCTGTTTGGTTATATAAGCACAGCACAGTGAGTAAAATCTGCACCATAAAATTAGAAGGTGGTAGAGAATAAGAAACTGCAGACAACCCTTGTTACGTCTCATGATTTGAATGTATGAAAGTGATTAAATGTGAAAAGATTTGAGATCATGAGAAGACTCTCGCTATCCTTTACAATACCACCCCACACTTTTAGAACCACTGTGCTTCACAACCACTTTCAGTAAATCCCCCACCCACCAGAACTTTGGCCAGTATACTTTACTTGTATTAGATGTAATCAAAACAGCCAACAAAGCATTGGAAAGCAAATTTTTTTTTTTTCTTTTGAGGCAATTTCTGAAAATGGCAACATCCCAAATAGTGGAAGAAAATGAAAGAAGATTGATTCATTTGTAATTATCTCTCATTCGGTTTTTCTTTCTAGATATTCAAAGATAAAGAGATGGGATGGATTATTCACTGTGTGTGTGTGTGTGTGTGTGTGTGCAGAATGTCAGACCTGAATGTAGGAAGTAACATAATTGGACAATCAGTGAAGTCAAATCACAGTGTGCTCATATGAACTCGCAATGCTCATCCTGCAATTAAGCTAATGTGGTCTACCCCTTTGGGTACATACTCACAGCATTTGAACCCGCCTTTGATACCGAGACCCCCATCTATACACCTTCTTCATACCAGTGCTGTCAAATCATGTGGAAATCATGTTAAATGGACTAGAGTATGTAATTATGTTGTGTAAACCACCTTGCAAAACCTATAATGTGGTTTCCTTATTCCTTCAACAGTGCTTAGTGTTGCTTTTGCAAAATAAGGCTGGTTTGTTACTAGAATTCCTAACAAATTCCTATGATGAGATAAAAGTCCTTCAAACCTTGGGTGGACACTGGTCATGTAAAACTGCTTTTGGATTAGGAAACCTGAGCTAACATTGCTATGTTTACATGCACCCAAATAATGAATTCATAATCAGACTGATGTCTCAGTTTATACCAAAAAGCCTGTAAATACCCCAATTAATCTGAATGAAATTTTGATCGAATTGAAATCTAATTAAAAGGAAAAAATTAAGCATGTAAAAACTTAAATCCAGCTATTTTCTCATACAGATTCAAAAACATGAATTGGTCATGTAAATGGATTTTTCAGAATCTAAAATCAGATAAAAATATAAAATTTTAGATAAATGTTAGGATATGACTCCTTTCAAGACAGTCCTCGGTTGTCAAAGCTTTGCAATAGGTCGTTGATCAGAGTCGTACTGGGTGTTCAACAGGCTTGTCTATTGTGTGTTTGCAGTGTTCGGTGTCCTGTGGAGGAGGTGTTCAGCGCCGACTGGTTAAATGTGTCAACACTAAGGCCGAGGTCGAGGATGAAAATGAGCATGTTGATTGTGATCACGAACCTCGACCAAAGAACACAAAGAAGTGTAACATTCATGACTGTGACAGCGCCACCTCTGGTAAGTGGAGCTTTGCGAGCTAGAGACAATGAATACAAATATAGACAGTTAAAGTGAGATTGCCTTATAAAATTATCATGACATGAGGTTGAATTCAAATGTGAATTAAAGGTAGTAAAATTTAAATCAATTAAATGTAAAGAACTTAAGTTACGGACACCATGAAGAGTTTTCAGAGGTTATGCAAGACAGAAATTTGGGCCCCCTTCTTCCAGATGAGTGTTTCTTTTAACATTTAATAAGAAATTTAAATAATTTCTTAGTTACCATTTATATTATTTCAAGTAAATTTGTTGTAAAAAAAAATGTTATCACAATTTTTGACCCATGTTATCTTGTATTATAATAAATTTATAACAAAATTATAAACCAGTAAATTGTACAATTCTCAATTCCAATTTCAATACCACAGGAAAAACTACTAGCCTAACAAATATAAATAAAGTTCAAATATTATTAAAGACAAGTGAACAGTCAGTAAATAAGAACAAATGAACAAATTACAAACAATAGCACAAATAAATAAATAGAACAAAGATACAGATATAGTTAAAGATGCTTTGGGTTTTTAGATTTATAGGTGTTCAAGTACAGAAATGAAATAATATAATGTAAAATAACATTGCATATTCCTCACTGTATAAATGAATATAGATTAATCATATTCAGTAATGAGCACTGAGTGATTTTCTCTTTTTTATTGGAATAATATTAAAGACACTGACAGCAGCTTGTAAATTAGGCGAGGTCACATTGAACACAATTCATAGGTCTAAAATTTATACACATTTGATTTCTTTCTCAAATGTTTATGTTCATTTAAGACATAACCGACTGTTTTTGAGGATACTTGCCAAGATGGGTATTTTGACATACTTTTGTATTCCACGCTGTCGGGAGTCACTTCAAAGATTCTACATCGGTAGTTCTTTGGTCACTCATTGAACATGACAGAAAGTTGCAGAAGTTAGTCAGGGGAGAGGCAGTGGTGTTGTTTTACAGTGTATTACAATGACAACTCTACAAGCTAAACTTAAGGGGTCGTAATGTAAATATTTAAAAACTTCATCTCATCCAATTGGTTCAGATCATCTTTAGACCATGCTGGCAAAAATTATGGCTTGGTGGTAACACTTTATTTCGATAGTCCACTTTAGACATTCTATTAACAGTAAGTAACTTTGCAACTACATGTAAACTAGCAGTTAGTAGAGTATTAGTAGACTGTCTGCTTAATATCTTCTAACACTTTCTAGTAACTTTGCAACTACATGTAAACTAGCAGTTAGTAGAGTATTAGTAGACTGTCTGCTTAATATCTTCTAACACTTTCTTTGTCAACATTCTTCTAACCCTAAACCTACCCTAACAGTCTACTCTGAGAGTTAGTAGACATGTAGTTGCAAATTAATGAGAATTAGTTGACATGTAGTTGACATGTAGTTACAAAGTTACTTATAGTTAGTAGAATGTCTAAAGTGGACTATCGAAATAAAGTGTAACCAATTATGGAATTCAAGTTGATTAGCCAAACCGTTCTCAAATAACGCGTGAATGGATTCGATGAAAAGCACGCAAAAATGAACGTGAGGCTATATCTCCACAATAGTTTGGTGTATTGAGACCAAACTTGGGGTTTGTTATAATAATCATGACCTGAAGCTACCTGCACAGTTTTGGCGCAGCGCCACCTAGTGGTCAGGAGATATGAAAAATGGCTATATAACTTCTGAATGTTTTGGCCAAAAATGACAAAACTTGTCTCTTTAGGTTTGGCGCAGCATGGCGAGTCGAACCATTTCCAATCGTGTCAGCCATTTTGGGTGTCAGCCATTTAGAATTTTGTCGTAAAATGCTATATTTTATGAACACATCAGTGAATTGTTACGAAACTCGGTATGTGTCTTCGGCACCATGTTCTGACAATGTTCAAAAAGTGCCACCTTGTGGTCAAAACTTGTAATGAAATTTCCAAAAATGCCAATAACTTTTGTTTTTATTAGCCTATTGTAATGAAACTGGTCTCAATATATTCTTTGGGTCATGCTGAGAACATAGATACCAATTTTGCCACAGTCAGCCGAACTTCCTCTCCGCCATTTTTAATTTATGTTGAAAACCTACTTTTCAAACTCATCCTAGACCGTTGGTTCATTTTTCACCAAATTTAACTCAGATCATGTTCAGACCATGCTTGCAAAAAGTTAAGTATTTCATGTCAATATAAAAAACGGTTATAATTTAACGCATCAACGAATTTTCTGCAGTGATGCCAAACTACATATGAGGCTGTATCTCTGCAAAGCTTTGCCATATTGACACCAGACTTTGCATGTGCCATTGTCACCTCACACTGACCTCGCCATCACTTTGGTAACAGTGCCACCTATTGATCAAAAGTGATAAACCATTCATTAACCACTAATGATGAAATTTCCAAAACATGCTAATACAGTAACTTTTGATTACATTAACCTATTTTTGAACTTTTTTGAACTCCTCCTAGGCCGTTTGTCTGATTTTCACCAAATTCGAGTCAGATCATCTTCAGACTGTGCTGACAAAAATATTTTGTGCCCATAGACAAAACTGTTTTTGAATAGTGCCGCAACAAAGTTGAGGCACAATGCCCAACTGTATTTGAGGCTCTATCTCTGCAAACCTTTGACATATTGACACCAAACTTTGTGTGTGCCATTGTCACCTCACACAGAAAATAACCACATCGATTTTATAACAGTGCCACCTATTTGTCAAAAGTGATAACTAAAATGAAAATTTTGACTAAAATCATCCTAAAATGGCTTTAATTATTCATTGTTGCAGTTGGTCTGACGCTCCATGCCATGCTTGGCTCCTCATTTTGCCTCTGTTGTGCTTGGCCTCTTAATCGCTGCTTGCAGCTATGTTTCACATTGAAATTTGGCCACATTTAAAAAAATATATTGTGAACATCCATACAAAAAATGGCAAATTGGTAAGGTGTATTTGTCCATTAAAGGGCAAGAAGACACACTTAAATAAATAAATAAGCAAAGCTGTGATTTGGGGGCCCCTAGCAGCCTCAGTCCATATGCCTAGCATACTCTGTATCACTCATAATGGTGCCCCTGACTTCAGGGTGCAATTGTATAATTTTTAATAGTACTTTTATTTTTTCAGTATAAATTCCTTAAAATAGCTAATACGAATTATTTTACATTAATAATCATGTTTAAAGTGGAAATTGTTGAAATTAGTATTAAATGTGTATATTAGTTCAAGTTCCAGTGTGTAATATCCATGCAAATTAGCGAGAACAAACAGAATTGGAAAAATAATAGCTTTTGAATAATGACATTTGTTGCAGATGCCACAGAGCTACAGTGTTTCCACTTTTTGAGAAAATAAGCTTATGAATGGTTTAGTTAAACTTGTATTTTAAATTGTTTGTCTATTATTATTGCATATTATTTTTCACTGGGATAGGTGATTTTTAACATTGAAAAAAAACATACACTCCATTTATAGCTACCATATCCTTTGGTAAATATGGTGTGTGTTATTGTGATCTGCAATTACATTTACATTTACATTTTACATTTAGACATTTAGCAGACGCTTTTATCCAAAGCGACTTACAATTGGGGGATA